AATGCACTCCTCTTATTGCGTAATCGAATTCGATTCCCAGGTATTTCACTATTTTTCTTAGATTTATACCCTGCATTCGAAGAATATGAGAGGTGTGGCATTTTTGTCCATCGGTTAGTATAATCCTTGGCTTCGCAGGGTCCAAAGATAGCTCGTGTTCTTTCATCTTTGTCAAGGTCTCCCTCAGAGTTTGGTTTGCTATTCTTTAGAATCCCTCTACGATCCGGGTTTGAACTGTAACAGCGCAGTCATCTGCATGGACAATGATTTCCTCTTCCAATGGAAAATTACTCAGCCTTTATACCTCATCACGTAGCAGGATCCACAGGAGGGATCCCAGGATAGATCCTTGAAGAGCCCCTACGGTCTTACAAAAAATAATTTCTTCATTGACTACTGATCTGTCTCATAGAAAGTTTGAGACCACAGAGACTAAATGCTGGGAACTTTTCCTTTATTCAAGCATGTGGGTACTATCGGTTATTGCAGGCTATTAAAAGCATTTTTAACATCTAAGAATATCGTAAGAAAAACGTCTCTTACTTTATTCGAGCCTTTTGTTACTTTCTTATCCCTCCTGAGGATCCTACTGATAGCTGTCAGCACCGATCTGTTTCCGGAAGCTATACTAACTCTCAGACAAAAGACCGCTTTCTTCGGCAAAGTTCCTAAACCTTTTCTCTATTTTGGTCTCGATGTCTTTCGTCGGTGCTCCAAATAGGCATATGGATCTGTAGAAACCCTTATCTTCAGGAATAAGCATGACCTCAACTCTCTTTCACGCTGGTAGGAAACGACCTTCGCTGAATATCTGGACTACGACGACAACGTTGGGGAAGTTTTTAGAAAGAGCCCTTGTAATTACGGCTGGGATCTCGCTGGGATCCGACGTTTTACACGTTTTGATACGTTTCCATATCTTCAATACCTGTTCCCTCGTAACGGGTGGGATCTCCTTCTTCGAATCCAAGCATGTAAACTCAGCTCGTTTAAAAAGCTACTGGGATGGGAACAAAGATTTTAGTACCCTCATTGTTCCTTCTTCTTGCAAAATATACTTCTTCGTCCTGCTGGTTCCCTTTCATAAGCTTATAAAAGCGATCCCATGAGTCTTCCTGTATTTTTTTGCAAAAAGTTTCTCCACCTGTTCTTCTTGCTACTCCTGATCTCTGTCTTTAAAGTTGTCTTTAAGGTTGCTTCTTTGCCTATAATTTTCAGTAGCCTCTTGGAGCGCAGCCGATCATCGCCGGCTATGAGTCATTTAAGTATCTCCCTAGCTTGGTTGCATGCGGTTTGACTTAGGGCAATTCTTTATCCCATCAGCATTCTAGTTTCCGTTTTTGACTTATTATGCAAACTTCTACTAGGAATTGCTAAAGATCTTCCCTACTCTGCGGTTCTCTTGCGGGATTCCTGCACCCAGTATTTCATAGATTCTCCTGTACCTCCTCCTCTCAGGTGCGTTAGTGACATACTGTTAGTATTCCTGTTTGTCTGCCTGGAACATACAGAGAACTCTACAGCAGCATTATGATTACCTTAGTAGATACACCTCCTCATGCAATCCCGACACATCGAACCAAGTGACCTGATTGACCGCGCGTATCATAAGATCTACGAAGAACGAATGTGTGTGATCGAGAAGAATCGGTACGCCGCCCGTCTTTAGCGTTTCTAGATTTTGCGTGGCCATAAACTCTAGCAACCGCCGACCTCTTGTCTGTTCTATCTACAAACTCCCCGTGTTCCTGATACTCAGTTAAAGTTCTCAGCTGTGACCACTGAAGTATCTCCTACTCCAGTCATTGACTCCACTACGCCGCATAAACCTATCTTATCTTAACCTATCGCATAAACCTAAGTTAAGACCTAAATAGCGAAAGTTCATGTGAGCTAGGCTGCCGCTCTGTACCTAGGAAAACCTTTCTTTCATCCCATTACTTTTTGTACTGTCTCGTGCTAATTATACATGTCATTTGTCAATTGCTCAGTAAATAATTGAAAAATCAGCTCCTTTTTCTGAGCAAATGCTTTGAATAAATCGCGAGGGTTCTGCCTCTATTACAGTTTTGCTGCATAGTTTGATCATAACTCGTTTGCTCTGAGACCTTTTTCCCATTGTTCCGGATAGGCAAAGAAATTATTATGTCGTTTCCGCTATTTCCTTTTGTTTTTCACGTTCCTTGTTATCTTAAAGTTTATCGGCTTGCCCTTGCATTTCAGCCGACTGGCCTATATTACTTGTTGGTACCGGGACCTTACTAGCAAATGATTTACCAATACTATTTGCCTGCTAGTTTCTTTTGCAATTTTTTCTTTATATTTCGGGCAGTTTATAAAATCTTGCAGGATGATCCGACGCATCAAAACTGTAGCAAGGAGTTTACAAACCTGCAAACCGTTGTAATACGCCCTACTGAGTTACCCCGATGGCATCTTTTCGTTGTCACAGCCTGGTCGAGGCACTCAAGAACCTTGTGCTTTATCTTTCAATATACCAGGCAACACGGACCCGTGACCCATTCAGTCAGTTTATCCTACGCACAATTTTCCTTGTGCTAGGATTTTGTTTGCCGTTCCAGAGTCCGTAAATCGGGCCATAACGTACCAGCAACTGGTGGTGCCCCACACTGGTTTCTTGACAATGAGATTGTTTCTGTTGACGCCATCATCCCCGACAAACTTAGGTAAAGTTTTCGCAGAGGTCCCTTCCACAAGGTTCCTGATTATTAAGCGCTTGTAGAAGATAACGCCGACCGATGCTGATACGCTCCTTATTCCTCAAATGACCATTACAAAAGCTGGACATGCTACCGCGCACGTTTCTTTTACATTGATCGTAATATCACCGTTCCATAGAACCTTAGTTTATACTCATAATTTTATGCTACAGGAAATGCATAGCCCGCTGAAGCTTCTTTAAAATATCTACAAAGGATATGTTTCCGTCAGCATTTCTTGGTACATTAGTATTTGACGTTGTGTTGAAAGCCTCCTTACACTAATTTCGATTTAGCGAATTTCGAGTTTCTCCTCGAAGTTGTATTTGTTTGATTCAGCCCAAACCTACTCTGCATTTATGAGACCCCTGATAACTTTAGGTGAAGCTTAAACAGCTAGCTTTTGCTTTTTCCTGCAAGCATAACTTTGTCCTCTGCCAGTTTTTCTAACGTCACATTTATCATCATCTACCTTGTAATTCCTACACACCTCCCTGATTTTCGGCGCCATCTTTATATCCTTGCCATATAGGCTCTTATGTATATAACTGCATTTGTCGAGTTTCTTAGCTAATTTGACTATTTCTGTAACCAGCTCCAGGGGTACGGAAACAACCTCGTTTTTTCACCCACGGAGTTTCAACCCATATTTCGAAGATCGAACGTCCCAGATAACTCTCCGCCTCTTCTTACCTCCTCCTTCACAGGGACTTCCATATTCGTCCCATATCCGGGGGATTTGAGCCTTCCGGCTGTATTTTTCCTCCATCTAAAGGCCACGAAATTCAGGCAAACATGCTTTCGAGGAACTAATCCGTCCAACGGGATCCGAGTAGCGTTATAGGTACAAGGGTGGTTTAAACTACAAGATTCACACCTGAATTTCGAATAATTGCCCCTTTTTGAAATCATTCTTTGTAAACTAACGCGCTAGGCGTTTGGTATAGCAGCCCGCATGTACGACCAATCCTTAATTAGAATAGGGAAAGCCTTAGGCCCCAAGACGAAAAAAGACCTATTTCAGAACGAGAGCTTTGATTGCCCCAATTCCTCTATGCAGTGTTGGTGGAAGCAAGATTGCAATTGATACATTTGCCCAATCGCACTTCATGTTAGAGTTGACATTTCGCTCCAAAGGCCTGTTTGCTTGCCCCTGCAATAAGCACGACGCAGGAGATGATTAAACTGGCGTAAGAACTAGTGGCAAATCACCAATCCTCGCACTCTGTCTAAATTAAAGCGGCAAGTCGCGATTTTGCCTGTAAAGCATTCAGGCCAAACGACACTAACATACCAAATTTAATGAATTTATCGCAGCCTATGAAAAACCGAAACCAGATCTGGACCGGTGCCTGCTAAAGCTCAAAGCGCCCTATCCCGTAGATTACGGGATCATCGGCGTACATCTTGAAACTAAATGGCAATCTTCTGCAGCATCGAAAGCGACGGCTTGGACTTTTGCGTTGGCAAACACTAATAACACCATGTTTTTAGTCGCTTTATCGAATGGGCGACTACGATATAAATGAACATATGGATGCCCTCCCTGCTTATAACAGACCCTATCTTTGCAAGCAGGATTTGACAAGCAATCACTGTTAACGTTCCTCTTTGCAAATTTCGCTGTTCATTTAGGATTATTCCTAGAACTTATAGGAAAATGGAAAGACGCCTGAAAAGTATGCCTGAGAGTACTTTGTAGCAGCAGCCCTTGTTTACGATCCTCTTCCACAAGCTTGCTTCTCAAACATAGTTTCCGCCTTTCGGGGAACAGCAAGGGGTGTCTCCTGCCTGTCGTCCAGTACCTTCCCGTCAGGTAGACAGACCTCATAAAGGGCAGTCCAGCATAAAGCTAACGCCACTGCTTCTTGGAGGTGTTTAGACTATCTCATTTAGGTCAGTTAATAATTTCTGTATCACATTATTGACTCATAGACGTTCCGGGATTGCCTAAAAGCAATCGGACCAAATGTCGATGCATTGCTTGATAACGTTAAATAAATTAGACTGCTGTTAGTTGTGCTTGGCTAGCCCATTTACATGAAAAAAAGAATCACCATCTGCAGGCTGCATAAACGAATTCAGTCACAGTTATCGACGACTATGGCTATGCTCTACCACCGACTGTTCTATGGTCTTTATGCGATTGTATAACGGGTTTATCTGCATTCGGAGGCAAATCGGCCATTTGTCGGACAGAGAACAGCCGCTATCTGAGCAACTCGAACTTCTAATATCCTTATGTCACCTCTCACATACATTACTATGATTCATTTGTAGGATATGTACTTCAAGAAACATGCGTTCAACAATCTTCCGGACGTTAAACTACGAAATGTCGATTCATTAAAGAAAGATGCATACGAGCTGGAACTTGCTAGTTTGCTTCGTAAAGCCATTCCGGTGGATCACAGCAAATCGCCGTGCGAACCTGATTTCCTACCACCTGCTGGGAATAAACTGGCCAATAGACCAAATAGTCAGCAGACCGCTCAGCCGCAATCGAGACACCTGAGTCAACAGCAGACGAAACAACAAATCAAAGGTGGATTAAATCACGGTCCAGCTAACCCTGATGTAAGTAATAGTATGATAGCATGGAAAACATATAAGATGCGTGAGGAACACGTGTTATATAACGCACGAAGCACATCATGTTATGCACGCTTAGTATTACTATGTTGACGACCTTTAGCCTAAGGCATCCTCAGTGAGTTGTCTATTTAGTAAATCCTAGCTGACTCTATCAACCACTGAAAGGTGAAATAACGCGAGAGCAAAGGGAGATTCAGTGAATGAACAGTTGAACTTTCCCCTCGAACGGGTCATATCCCTGGGTGTAGTACTTAAAGATGAGTGTGCGCTATGCAAGATGAACGAAATCAAAGCCACTTCATGATGGAGATCGTTCCGTGATTTTCCAATTTCTTGCCAGCCATTGTCAGGTTTCTTGTTTTGAAGAGCTTTACTCAACAACGCTTACATTAATCCATGTTCAAACCAAGAGGCTTCTCGTTAGAATGGCTTTAATATGTGACCGTAAAGGGTACTTGGAACGATTTTACCAGTTGCTATGGGCGCAACGTCTAATATACATCGGCCTATACATCGGCCATGATGACAATGGCCATGGTTGCATAATCTTAACTGACAGCCGTTTTGAAATCGATTAGCTAGAATAACTATAACATATTATGGATGTACGTATGTGAGCTCGTTCATAGGATTTTTTTGCCTAAGCAGATCAGCAACATATTTCTCTTTTTGAATATGTTGTTCTCCACTCAACGGATGAACACCAAGATACCCTAACTGGAAACCCAATTTTTCCGCCCAGATTGATCTCGGTATTGTTATTAGATTTACTTTAGATGAGTATTCCAATGTTATCGTTTCGTTCTATTCTAAAAAAACCCAGTCACATACAATGGCCCCCTTAACTACTCGGTTTTACCAAAACGCACATACCGCTGTAAAATTTGACGGCCTCGTTTGATGGGCGACATCGTAATATCGATAGGAAACTCGTAATCGTGTTGCTCTATTTCAATACTTCATGTCTATAAGTACTTCAATCCGTCCCCTGGGCTGGCGATAATATCAGTCGACGGAATCAGAATTGAACGTTTACGCGTAAAATATGCGCGGGACACTAAAAAAGGAAGTGACTGCATTTATTACATGGACCGTTAGGTAGGTAGTGAAATCGAATTTGCACACCACTGTTCCCCCTACGAAAACGTCTAGCTGATTTCACTGAAATTAATAACAACATTGATAAGAATAAGAACTGCACCTAGTTATATAACTGCGGTGATTTACATGTGCAGGCACATATGTTTACGTATCCTCGCATGACGCTGATGGTTTAGCTTTTCTTCATTTTTCTTCATTAATTTTTTGCCTTGTTAGTGTTGCTGCTGCTGATAAGGGTTAACAAATCGGTATATGTATATATGCCTGTCTGCAGAGTTAAAAAAAATCCTATAAAATAACATAGTTTGAAAGGAAGCCGACAACAGAAAATTAACAACAATTTTCCTCTATAGTCAACAACGTTATATAATGGCATCCTTCCATCTCTAATTAAATCCGCTAAATAGTTAGCTAATCAGCCAGTCTATCCAGTCTGCACTGATACTCGTCGTCCTCAGTGCTAGTAGTGATTGTGTCATCATAGTAATGATTCTTTCAGCTTCACGGGGTCGCTGTGGGTTGCGACCTCTGCTAAAGGACTTTCGCTAGAAAGGTCCTCAGCGTCACTCGAAAGTTCCTCTCTGCAGCAATAACAGCGGCATAGGATAGGCAACGCTGCAACAAAATAGAATCGATCATATGGAACCGACCGACCCACGTCCCATTCTGGGCTGTAGCATTTCTGAAACGAGTCAAATCGAGAAATTCTCACTATCGTTTGCCACTTACGACGGGATCAATGCCACGTACCATTGGCAAGAAACACGCATGTGTCTGATGTAGATAAAATGTTTACTATTGTGTTTATTTTTATTAAGCGATACAGAAAGTTCGCCAGAGCATCGTCACTGTTGCCTGCAATGTAAATGATCTCTGTGTTAGGCAGCTTTTTTTTCCAGTAACTGGATCACGATCTTAATGATAGCTGCTCATTTCTATTATCCTACTGTAATGTATAATCACATAATATGGTATGCTATTATATCATAGCTTATTATAGTAACACAGATTGTGCCTTTTTGCTCACTACTATTGTTATGCCCGCTGCACTTGCGTACTCATATTTACTACACATAAACATCGTAATAACAAACTACGGGCTATAACAGCTCATACTCATACATACGTGTCTATTCACGGAAACCATATCAAGCAACAGAGGAGATCGCGTGACATATCACGAAGCGACAGAAGAAAAACGCTCGGGCAACTTACCGAAAACGAATTATTTATAAAATAGGTTTCGTTTCTTCTATCCTGTAATATAAATTGCTTAAGAGCGACCCCGTTTTTGTATATATATATATATATATATATATATGCAGGTAGCGATTGATTAATGCACGATATGAGTGGGTTCCGTTTTGTACTTGACCTAAATTATGACTCAGTTCCGCTGCTCCGGTAGCTCCGATGGCACCTAGTGCATTAGAGGCCGCACCGGTGTTTTTTAATGCGTATAAATTCCACCGCCTTTGTCCACTGATTCATCTAATGGGTTCTATTTCAGGTATATGTTATGTATATACGGCAAGACGACAATTACTCAACGTGGCTGGAAGTGGCTCGCTGTCTGCGGGTCTGGGACCTGGATGGAAGGGGTTTTCACAAGGGCTTGTGGAGACTCTTCCTCAATGGGCACCATCTGCTCGTCGTACAAGTGCCAAGTTCACCTTACTCGTACGTACAAAGACAGCACAAAAAATAGTAGATTAAAGCTTAGCTATTAGCTAGTATTGGGACACCACGTCACGACCGTAGTTTGTAAACTGGTTTCTACAGATCCCAGCTTAACGCGCTGTAGGGTCAAAGGGATTGTACATCGTAGATAGTATCGGCTATTTTTGGTCTGTCTACCTGAAAGTCGGCTAGATTTATGCCCAACTTGCGTTTATGCCCAGGAGCTTACTCACAGAAGGTATTGGAAATATGATTACATAGAGTACATGTTATAAAATCATTCATCGTTATCTGCCTTAATAATTTCAATATACAATATCGAATGAAATGAAACTATAATGATAATGATGATAATAAACGAGACAAATCTGTAGTATTTCGCAAACCCTACGTCTCACTAACCTAGGCAGTGTCCCGGTGGTTTCTAAGTTCTTCTTCGATCGCCAAAATTTACCCGGCCAACTCGACCTATGCTTCGTCGATTTGTCCCTGCGAAAATGCAAACCGTAGTCTCGCACTTCTTGACGACATCTCCTAATACAGGCATCGCGTGCGTCCAAGTTTTGCAATCAGATATCGCAGATCACCAATAGTCTGAACCTTTTCGTGTTAGTTTCAAACTTACGTGAAACTAAACAGCACGTTTAAAATTGTGCTGTAGCACCGCAGGTTGTGGAATTTTCTATTTGTTGTCCTCTTGTCTTGAACTTACTGAAAAACTGGGAACCGTGTCCCAGATGGCATGTTGCCAGCACGCCCGCTTTGGAATAAAGTTGCTCGTCCAATGAGACATTCGTTGCCCACAACGAAATCCATGTGGTACTTTTACGTCGTATGGTACCAAATGCGTCGAATCACTCGATCGATCGAACTGTCGATCGCTATTTTACTGCCATTATCGATTGATTTCTTAGAGTCGCTGCTACCCCGTCGACAGCAGCGCGCGCAGATTTAGTTGAGCCTTCACCTTTTCCTCGTGAAAACAGCGCTCCGAGAGAACATTTATAATTTTAAAGTTTATTTATGTCCAAAATATGTGTTGTACTGCTATTTCAATGTCATCCATTGCATTCACTAAGCCCTTTCTGTTCATGTCTGTTGATGAACGGTCTGTTCCAGTACTTACGTACCCCTCGGTGCCGTTCAAGGCCATTTCCGCTTATGCCAAGAACGGTTGCAAGTGTAGCACTAACTATTTGTTCGTGTAGAAAACTACGTAGATTCGTTCATCGGTTTTCAGTCGACAGGCAGAACCGATTAGACAATCCATTGTTGAAAACAGCGAACTATAGGACACTTAACAAAAAAACCAGTGACAGCAGTAGCAATAATAGCGCTAGTCTTTCGGCGCTTGGCCTTACTATATCACAGATATGAATGCTGCGGCGTTGGGCCAGTGAGTGCTGATTTCTTCCCCAACGCGACGAGTAAGAGAGGTCTCTCTAGTTCGCGTTCTGTTTACAAACAAACGGGTAATAGTATTACTGGCTTGCTAGTGGTAGATAATATCATTATTGGTATAAGAAGTAACGTCACCATCCGACCGGTAGCAATGACGGATACAATTGTTTTGCCGCAGCCGACGGCATCGCCTTGGGCCAAGCAAAAAGGTTGATCGTGCCAATGAAGGTGATGCTGCCATAGTGGTTGTAGTAGACGACCTGAAACTGAACAAAAACCGAACGCCCTCCTACCCCCAGGAGGGTGTGGTGGTGAGACGGACTGGCTGTCAATGGCAGCAGAGTAGCGAATGTCCCGCGAAACACCACTGACGAGCTTAATCGAACATTTTCATATGGCGACGTGAACAGGTAAAATAAGTAGCATGAACATTAGGCCAACAAAGTCAACAGCGGCAGGCCATACCAGATATGGACAAGTTCATAATAATATACCTATAGCTGTAACAGTAACGTACGCAGAAGCAAGCTTTATATATAATTAGACTGCTTAGACAAGCAAACACAAGCAGGTGAATACATCAAAGGGCTAAATATCAAACGACGATTTGGTCGACAACTGGTGAGCGGTGCCCGCTCTATGCCTAATTTGAACGTACGGATGGAACAGTACTTAGCGAAAAGCAGGTTCTGGGTCTGAATTGACAACATCTGCAATATCAGGAATAAAACAAGGTCGGTCTTTGTCGACATGTTACACAAACGGTAGTTGTATTAGCAATACAAATCATCACGAACAGCTATGATTATCCAAAGAACGTGTTAATGGTTTTGCTGAATTTCTCTATATATTGTTCCTGTTAGGGCAACAAAGGCGGCTGCGTAAGCCATGTGACCCGGCAGTATGTTAATGATGAATCTAGGACCCTGATTGAATTCGTCTGCTCGTATTCCCTTAATAGGGAAGGATTCGTGATACAATAGTTGCTACTGCCATAGTTCCTTGGACATTATCCGAAATTAAACTCAAGACAGCCATTCCTGGTTAGTCTCTAATTCGCTCCCTAAAAAGGCCGATGAGCAAATGTTTTAAAGCTATTCAAAGCTTTATATAACTAGCTTTAAGGGATCGGTTTCACTGATATCTGGTTAAATGAGAGCCTAGTTTCGTAAGGTTTTCCGAATCCCACGGAAAGAATACATGTGAGACACGCCGATTGACGTAGATTTAGGGCCGCAGACTTTGAATATGAATAAAGAGGTAAGTGGGTGTGGCGTACGTGCTATCACCGTAACTGCTAGATTTTCCGTGTAATTTTTATGCGTGCTTTCAAGTACGCTGATAATCTCTGTGTTCAGTATTTCGTTTGTTCCCGTCAGCAGCTGCTATCAGAATGTGACAGGCAGAACGAAGCTATAATAATACATCGATACTTCATCCTATTAACCTATCCTTGTACTTCATCCTATTATACTGCAAACGGTGGCTCATAGGATAAACGCACTGATAGCGTAAATATATATTGAGTATATTTTATAGCCGTTACTTTCAGGACACACAGAGGTAAAGAAGACCTTAATTTTAATTTTCGCACGAACTACTTATATAAATTAGTTTATGAAGTTGTTTTATGAAGGTTGAAAATGATCAGAGTCGACTCTTCCGTCTTTCCTTTGGAGATAGTTTTAGCTAACAAATGAAACGTTCATAATGTCTATGTGTAATTATATTTGATGTACCTTTGTTATTGCGCTTCGTAAAAGTAAATTTCGAAAATCTTACAAAGTTTGCTACCTGGCCGTCATTTTAGCGATGATACGAACTATATATAGGAACTTCACTATTTCTGCTTGCTGGCTAACAAATATCGTTATATTGCCCGATTCGAATAAGTTCCAACGTTCGCCAAGCAACGTTCTAAGATATTTTATCAAATAGCAGCTGGTAAAAAGCCATTGCTGTTAGGCTATTGTTAACACAGAGGAAGCTAATGAGCGAAAGTTGACGTTTATAGGTGGGAAACAGACACAATTGTTATTAGAAAAATCAATTTTGATAAAGAGTTATTAGATAATAACGGTATATCAATATGCTTGCCAGTACGTGATAGGAAATGATGCTTATACTTACGTGTCTATTTTTCCTTCAAAACACATCAATTTCGAGCCGCTCGAGCAAAACATTTGGCAGAAGTGTCATTTTTACGCTTGGTTCGTTTAGTCTCCACAAAGAAGCTACGGAAGTCCCCTATCGAAAACACCAATAATAATAATATAATAATATCAAGGCTAGTTGACAGCAAAAAAGTGCCTTCGTGCAGTGTGAGACGGTCCTACTCGTGCTCCTCGTATTATTAGCACTATCATTATGTATTTGGTTATAAGGAGAGCCGGTAAGCAAGCCATGCTTTTAAGTTTAACAACGAATTAAACTTGACACTTTGATAAGCTCGAACTTACCGTGAAGAAAATTAATCGGAATTAAATAGGGCGAGTTGGGTTTTATTGTCTTAATTGTTGTTACGATGTTTTATGGTGATAATTTCAGGTCTTTCATACCAGACTGGGTGACCCCAATCTACATCCCAAAACAGCAGCAGCAGCAGCAGCAGCAACAGCCGCCACAGCAGCAGCAGCAGCAGCAGCAGCAGCAGCAGCAGCAGCAGCAGACCAGTACTGGCCTTAAGGCTAGCTGAACGAGCCTTTCCGTTCCGTCAGGACATATCGAGAACGAGCCCAGCTATTGAACGATCATAATGCCCTTGCGCCTTTATTGGATCAAATCAGGACACTGTCGCCTCCATCGCTTTGTAATCATACAGAATCACCGGAAGACTGACGATGAATATGGGTCGGAAATACAAGCGAAAATGCCAACTTCTTTAAGAAAGTTTTATACAATAATTCGATACATATCAAGTCGTGCACATATCAAAATGAGCCATATATTGTTCGACGTTCCCCGAATGAGTCTGATAGTAAAGAGGTAATGTTACTTGCCACCTTCGCTGGCATCTCTGGGACGAGTTTAATCCTTATGCACTTGACCTATGACGTGGGTCTGCCGTACGGGTAATATATGGAGGGAGCAATCTTAAGATCGCGTTCCTGCTGACATCCCCCCGGATGAAGTTCTTCATGAAAAAGCGCACTTTAAGTCAGTAGTGCTGTCCGCTGGTGTTACCATGCCATCTAAAACAGCCACTAACTAGGAGCACATCCACGAAAGGACGACGAGAGATTCAAAAACTGTGTATTTAATGTATAGAGTTATTATAAATAGTGTGATATTAGTGAAGAATAAAGCCGTTGGGGATATACAATAAAAAATTATCCAAAAATGCCGATCCACGGTTGGTTGGACGGAACGAACCGAAAAGAAATAAAAAGACTGGCGCAATACCAAGTGAGCAAGAAGGAGTTCTTTTTCAAATTTAGTGTAAGTACATAAGGCCTATATGTTTTTAGTATTTCAGATCTTCGCCATATATATAACAACGTAGACTGGATGCACGGTTCTAATAACTAAAATCTAATGAGAAGACAGGATTTTGGTCAGCCAATGTAGTGATCAAAAATAGTTTATCAAACTATTTTTGATCACTGCATTTACGGGACGGCTTGCCCGATTTTCAGTCGCGCTTTGAGCCTTTTTTACTTGAGGGCTGTTGTCACTAGCTAAAAAGCTAACGAAAAGGTAACAAAACATTAATTAAGGCGACGAGGCCTGACGTGCATTTCAGTTATCAGGTTGCTGTGACTAGTATGTTATTTCTGCGACGTCCTTTGATGACCATTCGGCTTTTTTCGCGTTCCTAGTTAGATTTGTTGCGATAAATCCTGACATTGCTTTATAATTCCAATAATTAATAAACAATTTATAAACATTAATATTTTATTAATACATTACAATGCCAATAGTAAGGATAAGGTAGGCAGCAAGCTAGTAGGTTCTAAGGATAAGGTAGGCAGCAAGTTGGTAGTTTCTAAACTGAGATTATCAGCCGGAAATAATGCTTCACGGCGTCAATATCGGGCGTAAATGCTAGAAGAACAACAAACCTAGATCGTCGTAGAACTGATTGTTAAGGCCAACGTCGACGTGCGTTAGGGTTACTAAAAGGGATTATTAAGAAATTGAGAAAACGTACGCAAATTTTCTGTTAGTTACATTTAGGCCGCCGGTTGTTCTTACCGTGTAAGCAAGTCTTCGGAGCTGCCTGCTCCATGCCTACATCAACGATCTGTGTTCCAGAGTAAGTCCTGCTAAACTTTTCTGGTTTTTTCCCCAACAGACCTATGGAACGATACTATTACAATTACATGCAACAATGACAAGCTCGAATTTGGACCAACGACGGGCGCATATTCATGGTTACCGTGGCAAACAGATGCATATAGGCCGCCCGCGGAAGGCCGCCCTAACTGTATTGCTTGTCTCTTCATCAAGAAGCCTGTGTTGATTATTTTTTAAGACAAAATGCTTGCTTCAGTTTGTGATACGCTCAAGTTTTGCGTAGTGTATACTCGCGACTCTCCAAGTAAAATTTCGATATATCAACGCATCATGTTTGTACGGAGGGAGTTTCCGATAGTTCTACTATTAGCCGCCCTTTATGAATGATACTGTCACTGCTAAGTAAAAGTAAAGGAAAAAAAGCGACATTTATTTATCATTCGATGCTTTTATACAAGCCAGCAACAGCTTTTCCTGGACGACCTTTTCGACAGCAGGGCGCCTGTTAACATGAGACCTGTACTGCCACAATAACGCATTGTTGTCTCACCTTGTCACCTATTGTTGTTCCTGCTCCTGAAACCGATTGCGAATGCTTGCTAAAGGGTCAGTTTCGAGTTCAACGGTAAGATGTAGGTGCACGTTCGTTTTGTTCATGCATTTACTAATTGTATATAACGACGGAGCTCGGGTAGGGCAAGACTCAGAAGTGTGCAGTCGGTAACAACATACATTTATTATTACTACGATGTGATCTATAGATGTGCTCTTTTTTATTATTTATTTTCATGTTTATATCAACGAGTGTTTGTGCTTTTGTTTGCGACAAAATCCAGTGTAATGAGGTTCGTTTATTCCAACTGCACTTCATTGCGTCATGTTTTTAGTAGACACAGTATACTTAGAGTTCTGTGACCATGATGATTTTTATTCCTATCATGATCACGTTCACTGTCTTACGCGCATAACTGGGATTTCATATATATATATATATATATATATATTGTTATTATCAATGTTGTTGTTATATGGCCGCCGCTCTCGGATATCGTAGGAATCAACATTGGTCTTGCTGCTGTTAACTATCTATTTTGTTGTTATTCGAAGATACGTTGCCGTACCGCGTACTTGTAAAATCCAACAACAGTTGACCGTCGTATACACAATGAATTTTCCTATTACCTCGCTAAGTTCACCAACCCATTCATTTATTAATCAATTGCAATAAGACGCTGAAACGTCCACCGAACTAAAGTCGAAGCCAGGAGCATCTGAAGAAGAAGTTCGAAAGCTGCAATAATTGCACCGGGAGACATAGTTAGTCCTCTGGGGTAGCTGCGAGAGCTTGTGGAATCGAACTGTTCTGGCGGAGAGGGATCGCCAATATCTATCTATGTCTTTTGCGCTCTAGCAAAAAACCTTCTGCTATTACGCGAGGCGAGACCGGGCAGACCTATGAACGAACGGGTGCCAATCAATGAAATCATATCGTAATATTATCGCTGCTTGGTATTTCGAAAACATACGATCGCTACGGTGCTTGGCAGAAACTCCTACGGACAACGTTTTGTTTTCGACTCGTTTTTACCGGCAAATTTAAAGAAAACGTAGTCGACTGAATTATTTTGACCGAGCCGTCCGGCTCGACTTACCCTAATCACTTGAAGATAGTCTTCCAGTTCAACAAACACTCTTCCTTACATGACCAACAATATAATAACGACCATCATACTGCTAGTTCTAACCGTACACATTGTTGTACAATTTTGAAATGTATATGTTTTTTGCCACCTATCGTCTACTCCACAGATTTCCTACATAACATAATTATTCAGCTAACACTAAGCTGTGAATAAAATCATGACATTTCCCAGTTCAGTCAGTTGAACAGATTTAAATTGATAGCACGAGGACATATCAATGCTCACTTTTTCTAGCCTGTTCCTACTGCTGTCGGTGTTGCGCTGGCGTCTCAAGCGGCTGGGATGGCAGGAGTGACGATGCGGTTTGACGCTTCACGTGAAGCGTCAACTCACGGTGTAATCGATCGATTTCTGCGCGGAGCTTCGCGTTGTCAGCCGTCAATCTTTCGCATTCTGCAGAAAAGCATTCGCGTCAGTACAAAGCTTTTTTGTTGAAAGGAACATATCCACCATCCTTTAGGGCTGTATGGCAGCGTGTTGTGCAAGCAAAATAGACAAACTTACGTGGAGCGTGACAGCGTACGGATCAGAATTTTTTCACGGCGAAAATCGCCCAAAATGCCACTTCGTATTTATTACATGTTTTTTTTATTTTATTCATATTGCGTAGTGAGGCAAGCGAACGATTTTTGTCCGTTATTTAGAGATCCACTTTGTTATTAGAGTACAGGTGGAAGCACAACCAGCATGGACAGGAAACGAATGGAAATGGCTTGGACAATCAGTATTTTCACAAGCGGCTAGGAGATGCGATCTAAAACGGGACTCCATATATAAGAATTGCTGACGGAAGTTTTTTTAGCTCAGGAGACCGACAAGCCATCATTGGGCGAGACGTCTTCGTTAACATACGATTAAGAGTTAAATTAGGTGCAATACTGCTCCATTAAAGGCAGGATCACTACGGTTATCAGATACTTATGGTTTTACACTTTTTGTTTTTTTTTTTTACCTTAACGCTGTATATCTCCAAGACGATAATTTGAAAAGTGATCAAAAAAGATCTGATGTTATGTTTTACATTACGTAAAAAATAGAACATTTTTATTCCAGTATAAACGAGATCTGTCACTAGCGAACCAGTTAATACCACTGTTTTGAACTTCGACCGTGCGGTCCAAGTCAGCCAGGTGTACGGACGTATACAACAGATCAGTTGCAGACGTATCAACTGAGCTGCGAAAATAGATCTGATGAAGATACCAAAATTTTCAATTTCCAACTTACTTACAATAATCCGCTTGACTACGAGCTACCCTCAATTATATGGAAATACTCGACGGCGACGGCCAGCAACGCAGGAGCCGTCCGTCCGTCCGTCCGTCCGTCCCAGCATCTGTCATGCATCGTACTGCTATTTACCATTAAAAAAAAAAATAACGTAAAGCAAGAATTGCACACAGCGGTGGAAAAATTTCGAAAGTCAGCCTAAAAAAATAGATAGCCTATCTTGAGCTTGTCACAACCGTGCGTACCAAGGCCAATTTACAATATAAAGCGCACAAAATAAATTCCGTAAGATCACAGTGGTGCTGAGCACTTCAATCAATGAAGTTTTGCGCCATGTGAAGTGTTCCTATCCGAACGGGCCTAAGTACGCCTTTGTTAAAATCAAGAAAATATATACCTTTATCTGAGGAATAATGAATAAAGCTATTCGTTGTGCTAAAGTTAGTAGTGAGTCGAAGGTGTATTTAAGTTGAGATTTGAAAATACTACCGTCATAGTTTTTGCAGCAGCAGTACGTATTAAGACAGGTTTCGGATTTTTGCACACGTAACCTCAAACTGAATTATGATTGTAATCCTTTTGTCAACTTCCTGCTTGTCTGTGTCACAAAGACCACGAGCACCCCGAAAAAAAAAAAAAAATATATATAATGGCTCAACTTTGTGAAAAGCTCTATTCTTGGTTCTCTTCTTTAGCCAGTTGCTGGAGTGTTTATATTACAGATTGCCCCGTGATATAATATCTAGTCAGGTTCCATCCAGGGTAACGGAGTCCGTCAACTAGATTCAGGAAATGCATATCGTCTAAGATTGACAAAAAAGTGACTTGGATTTTAGTATTGTGAAAACCTTGACCTGTGATGCCACTGGACCTCACACATCAAAGTTCTACACATGGTCGTAGTTAGAACTTTTACTTTTGTTATTATTGTTACCGCGTCTGTCGCTAGCAGTCAAGCGCGATAAAATGAAGTCGTCATTGTGTGGGAAGCAATTGCCTGCCTTAAGCTGCCGCGACCGCCGTCTTCAGTAGAGCGCTCATCCGTGATGCGGTAGTAGTTACGACAAAGACTTCACGCAATGAACTTGTGAATGAGCGTAAGACTAAGTGCTATTGAAGTTCATATTGTCGGCAAATCGTAACAGCTTCAACAGCCGTCGCTGTAATGACACGGTATATGTAGGTATGCGTCAACCTCTGGTTTTCCTTAAATTGCTCATTTAAGATATGTAATCTCCTCCAATATGTCCATAGCAGGCGAAATGAAACTCGACGAAAAGAAGCGACTTATTCATGGATTCGCAAGCTTACAACTTCATTTGTCTGTGCGAACGTTGGCTGATCACTAGTTCAAGCCAAATATAAAACAATACAAACGTATCGACTTCTCGTCTACATAGTTTCTGATGGTAACAATGATGAACGTGCTATTCCTATATTTCTGGCTATAACCATTTGGTGAATCGCAATGCCCGAAACGGGGTTTTTGTACGTACTCAACCAAAATGCAATACCCCCACCGGCATTAGCCGAAACAAAATTAGAATATATTCTTGTGAATAACCGAAAGATATTCCAAATAACCGTAGATCAGATAATACACTACATAGTTCTCCTAGTGTAGATTGCCATAAACTAGACAGACTATGTACATATCGACCAAGTCCATATTGATTTTCGACTACCCTCGCGCCCCCGGCTGCCTTGCATTAGCTGTGACAATGCAAAAGGCATTGAGACTTCTGCTTGAATTGTTGGAACTCCTTTGTATCGAGACACAATGCCACGACGATTATTGGCAGTCACAGAAATGGCCGAAACTTGACGCATGCGCACAGGTTCAGGAGAGGTAGCTCAAGGACGATTATTCTTACACTGTTCCTTGTCATCTTGCGCGGTGTCAGTCGTGAAATGGCAGCTGGTCAACAATGAAACCCCACTGATCCATGGTGCCACCATAACTTGTGCAGCGACAACCCCAGTTAGCAGCACCAACAAAGGCAACTATAGAAACAAAACGATTTGACAATAGTCGTAGAGGTTACGATAACAAAAATAGTTTAAGGTTCACTCTTTTTTGTAGGAGATTACTTCTCAGCATTGCAACTTCACAGTATGGCGGCGAATATGAAGCTAGCGCGCGTTCTAGTCACTAAGGAACAGAGTAAAACCTTACGATCTACTTTTTACTGCATTTGACATAGTTCATGGTAGCCAAGACGGCTGATCGTTAATGCTCCGTTTTCCGCTTGAAGCATTCACTGAACAGACAGACTACTTCTGAGAGCGTATTTTTCTAACGCAAACATTCGATCAAAAGTACATGCGTACGTTACTTTGATTGTCTTTCGGTTACAGATATAGCCAGTTCGACAATCCTGCTGTAGGACTGAACCTCGGTTTAAGGTGAAATTATGATTTGTCCAATCGATTTAATCGCATATGGTCAACTAATGCCGTCGACCAAATTGAGTTAGAACAGGCGGTAGACATTTTGCCTGTTGAATCCAATCCAGTCCAAGTTTGAGTCTGAATGGATACGAACAACCTGCGCTGAAGGATCTTCTCGCGTACGATCCGAATCTGTTATGCAGCGACCGTTTTAATGAAAAAGAATATTGTCAAGAGGTATACAAAAATGCTCTAGCCGCATTTGGTGTAATATAAATAAATTCTAATTGACAATTATCTGTCTTCTAATATTCTTTTGTTTTTATTTCGTTAGATCTTTTCTCGCTCTCAAACCCCATCTGTGAGGTGCCGAAGAGATATCAGCCCGAATTTCGATTTAACTGCAGACACCTTTAATTAGACAAGGAGGTATAGGTGGCACATAAAAACGAATATTGTGTAGTAAAGAAGTACATACAATGAAGTAGGAATGAAGCAGGTGTGCCGTATTAATACAATTACCTGGACGTCCTCTACACAAAGCTATTACATCGTTTCACGTAACGTCTATCAATGAAACGTTTCTTGTTGGAAGGTAATTAGCTTGAAACCTTTTAAACTTTAAAAAAATCGATTTCTACAAAATATCTGTAAAACCTGTTTTATACAGTTGAAAAAAAGCTTCCAGCATTTTGCTGCTCAAATGACGATGATATAGAAGAAGGCAGATCGACGTATGTAGTCCATACACCCCTTCGAACGTAGACTTGTGCTTCACGGGACGTGACACCCATACTGGAGATGAATATATACATTCGGATAAAACAATGGCCTCACAAACAAATGTAAACATTTGTATTTCTTACTGCAAAATATTTTTAAATGATATTAACAAGCTTTGTGTATCTATGGGCTAGTGTAAGCATATGTTGGCTGACGTCCGGTGTTGCAGATGCTCGTGCGCTAAGGTCCCCAGTAGTAGATACGGTAAGAAGCGTGACATTATCAATTCTGTCAGCGGAGACAAGCGTTTCATCGTCCGGCATTGTTCACTTTGATTAAAAAGCTACGCGTCATTTTTCCGAAGGGTGGATTTTTGAAACCGAGACAACCGTAGATCTCGAAGTCATGTGCATATGCTAAATTTTAAGTGGGGTAGATGTTTCTATAAAGTACAAAAAATTGCATATAATCAAGAGACAATGGCTTTTTTAAAAAGAGCCAGAAAAAACAGGCCTTAAAACGTTTCCTCAATTTTTTTTAGGAAGGCTTAAACGTTTCCAACGTTCACACGGAATAACTTTACAACTAAACAGGCTAAAGGTGGATAGACGAGTGCTCAGTTTAACCTATTCCCCAAGTAGAACCCCTTAATTCGCTTTAGTTTTCTTCTTCCTTTTAATCTAAATGAACATCGTGGTATAGCCTACGACTGTTTATGTGCGTGTCCTATTCCGGGGTATTTCTAACAGACGCCTGCGGGTAGAGTAGTAGGCAATGAAACGCTATGCGAAATCAAAGAGTTTATATTTTTGGATCTCTATTTTTTGTCGAAATATGAGCATTGGAAAACTCCACAGTAGCTCTTGTCAAGTACAAATATTTTCATTTCGGCCAGTAGTCTAAATATATCGATTTGATATATTCGATATATAAGAAGTATCGATTGATTTATCCTCTAATTGTAATTTATCCTGTAATCCGACTGCGAGGGCTGCCGGTATCAACCGATGATCGTAGACAATCGACAAATTATGTAACACAATAGACGC